GCCTCTACTCGGTCATTCATACCAATTACCTTGCCTAGACCTGAATTTCGGACTAAATTCCCTCTAACGGGGGGATGATGTGACAACCCAAAGTTATTCCGTTACATTACCCCGTTACCGTTAACGAAATATTCCACTGTATAAAAGTTCCGTTAATTAGAGGTCGCCAATTAAATAAATATTTCTTTTATTTATGTCGTTAAGTCGTGATAAGAGAAATAAAAACTCATAATACACATTTCCATTTAGTTGGAAAAGTTAGTTTTTATTATTACGACCACCAAATCGGGTGCAACCAAAAGCCCCGTTAAACGACAGTATCGGGTAGAATATCACTGAGCTCCAACTCCCACCCATATATAAGGGGGAGTAAACTCCATTTGAGCCTTTTCCACCCTCTCTCTCTATACTCTTTCTCTAGACTCGTTTTTTACCCGAATCCGCAACCAAACGCTTCCAAATCGTAAGTCCACTTACCCAAGCTTGTTCTAAACATTATACCTCGTGATTATAGCTTAAAATTCGACCATTTAAGCTGTTGAAAAGGAGTTCATGGCCTAAGATCCTCCTTATGCCGTAAACACCTTAATTGAGGCCAAAAAGACCCAAACTTGTCCCTAAAAGCTTGGAAATAAATTGAGGATTTAGCCTAGGAGTGTTTGCTCATTTAAAACAATCAATTTGACGCATAAAAGAGAGTTTACGGCCCAAGCACATGCTTAGGCCGTAAACACCTCTAAACCTTGTCAAAATGCCCCAAACACACTCCCAAACCACCCTTAGGCTTAATACATGAATTAGGGGCTTGCTATTTCGGGTTTAGATCATTCAAACACAAGGATTTAAGGGATTAAAAGGAGTTTACAACCCAGACATATGTCAAGGCCGTAAACACCCCTAAACATGCGAAAGTAATGGTTTTAATTCCCCCAAAGGGCCTCACACTCCATGATAAATTACTAGGAGGGTATTAAGGGCTTAAAACTTCAATAAACTCAAGGAATAAGAGTTCACGGCCGTTAACTCCCTTAGGGGTGGTTCAGGGGCCGTAAACTCCCTAATGGTGCCCTTAAAGACCCTAAACTCATTCATACTATATAGTTTTGGACCTAGAATAATTCCATGAACAAGTTAGATGCCTTAAAACACACTAGAACCCCTCACCATGAGTTTACGGCCGTAAACTCATGGTGAGATGTCCCTGGGCCGTAAACTAAGCTTTGGGAGTTTACTCTCGGAGAGTAAACTCCATTCCTAAGCCATACACACCTTTAGACGCTACCCGGGACACCCCAAACACTTAACCAAAGTGTTTTCCGCTCCTTTGAGTGCGTATACGTGTTTAATTAGTATTAAATATACTAATTGTATGTGAACATATGTTATCATATGTTAAATAGGTCATTGAGTGTGCTCGAGTCTTTACGTGACACCGAACACCCAACTGGCACCTCCGTCGTACCTACTTACACCAGGTGAGTTCATACCCCTGAATGAACCTTTTAAATGTTTTTACATGTTTTATATGGGGGGGGGGGATGAATAGAAGTTAAACATGCCAGTTATCATATCAATCACATGTGATTGATAACCTGCATGCACGAGATTTTACCACACTGTACACTGTTTTACCGAGTAGGATACTATAATGGTTTTCAAAAAGGTTTTCAATTGTTTTAAAACTCTTACTTGTACTGTTGTATCTAAAATCATTTCAAACTGGTTTATAAAGGTTCCAAAGATTTCTATAGGTTTTCAAACTTATTTTACCAAAGAATACAGAAATGTGATTTTCCTAAGTATAAAGGTTTTCCAAGGTTTTCATCAAATTTCTCTTTCACGTCGTATACTTATACTTGTTAGTTACCGGTGCTTCTCTTTCACTTACTGTAAACTCCTACTTGATAACGCTTTCACTTCTTGATATGCTTATACCTGTTATTGCCTCTATTTCGCTTATACTTGTAGTCACTTATACTTGTTAGATGCTTCTACTTCATCAGTTGTCGTTTCCACTTCGTGATACACTTATACTTGGTACACTTATACTTCACGATTCGGTTATCCCACACTGTACGATTTCACACCATGATTCGGTTATCCCGTACTGTATGATTTCACACCATGAATCGGTTATCCCACACTGTACGATTTCACACCACGATGATACGTTTCCACTTGATACAGACTCAGTCGTAGTTAGATGTATGTATGTGCTTGTATAGGTACATATAAATAATGATTGAAGGACTTGGGAAGGCTCGTCCGCCCTATTTCCTTTTCTTCGTTGAGATGTGGTCTGGTGGGATCGGATGGCCATCCGAAGGTCGTTTGATTCATTAGTTATATATTATGTATACGAGTATAGACGTACAGGTATGCTCTAGTCAATTTAGTTATGAGTCTCTACCTCTAGTTCAACACTTACATTAGAAACCCACTACCCACTAGAAACCCACTACCCACTATTTGGGATGCATCTTCGGGACACGGCCTTCTCCGTCCTCTAGTTGGTAACCAGAGTCTCCTGTAGGGAGAGCGGACATTGTGTGTATAGATCTATACGGGATTGACACCCCCGCACCCTGACTGCTAGCTACAGTCCACGGTTCACCAAGCCAAGGGGTGACAAATGTCATATTTATAGACGCTTGTAGGGCGTCTGGAACTCTAGTCAGTATGGTTACGAGTATCCCGAGTTACCTTATAATTCATGGCCTTAAGGTAACGGTATTTCACCGACAATTTACACTGTATGCTGGTAACTCATTTTAAGAGTCACACTGTTTTGACCTTGCAAGATGTATCTTTCATTTGATACTGTCTGCGGTCTGTATACTATGTTTTGACCTTGCAAGATGTATCTTTCATTTGATACTATCTGCGGTCTGTATTCTCTGTTTTGACCTTGCAAGATGTATCTTTCATTTGATACTGTCTGCGGTCTGTATTCTCTGTTTTGACCTTGCAAGATGTATCTTTCATTCGATACTGTCTGCGGTCTGTATTCACTGTTTTAGACCTTACCATCTGTACCTTTCATTTGGTACCTTTTGGGGTCTGTGTCTCCATTTGTTAGACGGAACCAGGCGTGTCGTTCGTTCGATACTCTCCTGGAGTCTATGATTCCTTTGCCTTAGTCAGCAGTCCTCACTGCTGAGGCATATGTTATTTCTCTGACTTCTCTTGCTTCCTTTAATAATCAAATTCAGTATTTTGATAATGATAACGATTAAGGGAAAGATACTTTTTACCACATAACTCCGTCCAGTCTTGGTAGTAGGCTGTTTTTTATTAAAGAAAATATAGGATTTTCTGGAAAGAACTCTAATACACTGTAAACTCTTAACCTACTACATTATAAAGTTATTTGAATAAAATGTCACTAATTACTTATGAACTCACCAGCATTTGTAAAAATGTTGATCCTCGCTTTTCAAATAACTTGTATTCTCAGGTTAGCATTAGACAGGTACATCCCCGGAGCTGTTGATGAAGATAGCTTAGTACCATGCTGTTCTTATTACATTTGTCTGTATTACTTTGATACCATGTTATGTAAACTATGTAAACTATTACTATTAATGCAATGTTTTGTTGTACTTTGATTACTATAATGCATGTGTTGTGATACTTGACATGACGTCATCCACACCAGAACGTTTCCGCTGTTCCGGTTTTGGGGTGTGACATAATCACTACTCCATCACATTTTTGGCTTTCATGATCCATGCATGGATCATTTGAACTTACCAACATTGCGTTGATACTCTTTCAAATCACATGTATTCTTAGGAAATCAAGAAGTCGGAAGTCATACACTTGGAACAATCATGGGATTTTAGCATACGTATCATATTGTTATATATTCATAAGTTACCTAGTCGTCAAAGCAAGCTCGATACTTTTAGATTTTCATGTACACCTAGACTAGGGATGATGTAATTTCCTTTATTGAGTAATAAAAGTTTCTACATTGTGATATATTGTTGTATTGTTGTATATATGCAAATAACTGTGATTCATGATGTCATCTCATTGTCCGACGTTTCCGCCGCCTATTGGGGGTGTGCCAACATCACCTCCACCGCTGCCACCACCTACACCCCCTCCATCGCCACTATCATCAATATTGGTGGTAAAGGGAGAGGCGGTGATAAAAATGGTGTTGGATGATATATGATTTTTTTTTTAGGGGGAGGGAGTTTTTTTTTATTATTATTTTTTTTATTTAGTCAGTTTTTTTTTGTATATTATATATCATTTAACTTGTTGAAACTGTTAACATATTACCTTTTTACCTACCGTAGTAGCACGTCGCAAAAGTAATGTATATATTATGTTCAACAAGTTGGATGATATATGATGTACAAAATAAATTAAATGTGAACAAAATCAAAAATACATAACCCTCCTGAATCATTTTCCCGAAAATAATTAGTTTGTTAATGTATTAATTTTTTTTTACTTAAAACAACTTTGGTTATATAACTGTTGGACACATAATATTGAATTATGGTAGGCTTAAACCGATTTATATACGTTAGTTCTAAGAAATTTAAAAATGGTTTTTAGTTTAATATTTTTAGAAGATTTTGGTCCGAAACCATCATTTTGTAGTTCTAAAACGACTTTTCATATGGAATCGTTTAAGATTTGTTTGATTTTCGATTTGATTAAATCTTTTTTAGGTTTCGGTCTACTTCTATCTGTTACAAACCCCATGAACACCCTATAATAAAAAAGTATTTCAACCCAAAAACAACAATTCAACTGTTTCATCTTTGGTGCACATACAAAGATCATCACAATTCACCATCATCGAAGAGTAGATCCAGCGTTGAAGTTGTTGTTATGCACAGACCACAATCCCTCTCTCTTCTCTTTCTGCCTTAAGCTTTGACTCCAATTCCACCCCTTTTCTCCCCTGTTTTTCTTCCCCATCTCCCTAATCCCCAATTTCTCTTAATTTACACTAACAAAGCTTCCATTTTTGCCACCCAAAATGTCGACGGAGATGGCGAACACCGATCCTGAAGGAATCGACGGTGTTCGTATGACCTGGAACGCCTGGCCCCGCACAAAAGTCGAAGCCAGCAAGTGCGTCATCCCTTTCGCCGCCTCGATCTCTCCGATCCGGCCTCACCCACACATCCCTACCAATCCTTATGTGCCTCTCCGATGCAAGACCTGCTCCGCCGTCCTTAACCCTTTCTGCCGCGTCGACTTCTCTGCCCTCATCTGGATCTGCCCCTTTTGTTTCCAACGAAACCACTTCCCTCATCACTTCTCCGGTATCTCCGAAACCAACGTTCCTGCAGAACTCTACCCTCAATACACCACAATCGAATACGCTTTTCCTCAATCCGATCTCCATCACACAATTCCTCCACCTGTATACGTATTCGTGCTTGATATGTGTATGATCGAGGAGGAATTGGCGTTTGCGAGATCGGCGTTACAACAGGCGCTTGAATTCCTACCAGAGAACGCATTGGTGGGGTTTGTTTCGTTTGGGACACAGGTTCAGGTTCATGAGTTAGGGTATGCTGATATGTCTAAGGTTTATGTATTTCGAGGGTCAAAAGAGATGACTAAAGATCAGGTTTTGGATCAGCTAGGGTTAGGTAGTGGTGCTGGTGGCCGGAGAGTTGGTGGTGCACCAGGGCAGGGGTTTCAGAAGGGGGTAGTACAAGGTGGTGGGTTTCCAAATTCCGGGGTTTCTAGGTTTTTGCTGCCTGCTTCCGAAGGTGCATACATCATCCATTCGGTGAGTTCTACCACAATCCTTGTTCAAAACTGCACAATTTCATTGCTATACATTACTAATCCAATTGTTAACAACTTAAAACTCAGCTTTTGGAAGAATTAGAGACAGATCAATGGCCTGTTGCACCAGGTAATCGATCATTAAGATGCACTGGGGTTGCACTAAGTGTTGCAGCTGGATTGCTAGGGGCTTGTATGCCTGGCACTGGTGCTCGAATTGTAGCATTGGTTGGTGGGCCATGCACTGAAGGCCCTGGTTCGGTAAAGTTCTTCTATAAACTTTTCTTCTAACATATGAATCATCTTTCCATCTTTCTGAGAGTTGTGAAAAAGGTTATTTCTGTTTAGGTTGAATGACTTGAATCTATCTAAACTTGTATTAGTTTCTGGTTTCTTGTAGATTGTATCAAAAGATCTCTCGGATCCTGTGCGTTCACATAAAGATCTTGATAAAGATGCAGCACCATATTTTAGGAAGGCAGTTCAATTTTATGAGGAACTTTCAAAGCAAATGGTCAGCCAAGGTCATGTATTGGATCTTTTTGCTTCTGCACTTGACCAGGTATAAATCTCTTTATCTGATTGTGTTTACATATATATCATATATATATGTATAATGTATGTATCTGTGTGTATTGTGATGATTACTTTTTCTTCAAAGTCAATGTTCTTATTCTGAGTTTAATAATCTGCATATTAAAACATGTATCTCAATTCTGTTTGAAATCTAATGTTCTTTTTGTTAATAGGTTGGAGTAGCAGAGATGAAAGTTGTTATTGAAAGAACTGGTGGACTTGTTGTTTTAGCTGAAAGTTTTGGACATTCGGTTTTCAAGGATTCATTTAGACGTGTCTTTGAGAAGGGTGAAGAATCTCTTGGTCTTTCCCATAAGTGAGTATTTTCATTCTTTACAATCTGCATTATGTGTTTTTGTAGCCTTCTACTTTCATTTATTTCTTATTAAATTAAATACAAAAACTAACCAATCACATCATTGTACTTTCAGTTTGTTTTCTTATTAAAACATCGTACTTTGAAAATTGTAATAGGAAAAAACAAAAGTAGAAAGCTATAACAAATAATTGGTATTACTTGCATTTAACCCTTTCTATGATTAATAACATATCATGCATTTTCATCTTTTGAAAATATTCACTAGTTTATTACTTTCAGTGGAGAACTTGAGATCAACTGTTCAAAGGATATTAAAATTCAAGGGATTATTGGACCTTGCACATCTTTGGAGAAGGTTGTTTACTTAATCTTATATTTAAACATCAAACAATCATATTGACTCCAAATGAAAATAGTATTTTTCAGATTCATTATTAATTTTATTTTTTTGGTTATTTTATGCAGAAAGGTCCAGCTGTTGCTAGCACAGTGATTGGACAGGGGAATACCACAGCTTGGAAGCTGTGTGGACTCGATAAAAATACTTGTTTGACTGTTTTTTTTGATATATCATCAAGTGACAAATCAGATGCTTCAGGAAATGTAAATCCACAGTTGTACATACAAACTGTTACAAGGTAAATTTCATATTTCTTTTCTTGTAAAAATGTGTTTAAGGGGCATTTGGTAAGTAAAATGTTTTTGGAAGGAATGAAATCTGTCAAAGGAATTGGAATATACACTATTGAATTGTTGGATTTTGTTATTTCCATATATAATAATGAGGGTATTTTGGTCTTTTATTAAGAAGGAAGAATGGAATTGAATTACTTCTACCCTCCCTAGGAATGGTGAAATCCATCAAACATGGAATTTGAAGGATTGAATTCCATCCATTTGGCAACCAAACAAGCCATGGAATGGAATCTTGAATTCCAATTCCTTTTTTTGTGATTGAAATGTATTGATTATAAAATTTGATGCAGTTACCAGAGTATTGATGGACAATCAAAGCTGCGAGTTACCACCATTACTAGAAGATGGTTGGAAACTTCTGTTCTCTCAGAGGTAAAAATACTAAAACTTTTATATAATATTTTCTGGACCATTTAATTTTCAACATTTTTTTTATGCTTTATAATTATTTTTGGTGTGAGGTGAAAGAAACTATGATTATAGTTCCCATTTACACTATGTTCTTGAGTTTGCAGAGAAAAGAAATGCAAGAAATAGCAATTTTGTTTTTTACAATTATACCCTTCCAATAGAAATTCAGTTTCTGATAAATTATGTTTAACAGGAACTGATACAAGGTTTTGATCAAGAAGCTGCAGCTGTGGTTATGGCTAGATTAACTTCTTATAAAATGGAAATGGAGGTAACAACTAATCATTTCTCACCATTTCTTTTACTTTAACTTAATCCACAAACACCTTTAATGGATTTTCTCATTTATAACAATTAATTAATTACAGGAAGCATTTGATGCAACAAGATGGCTAGATAGAAACCTGATTCGCCTCTGTTCTAAATTCGGTGACTACAGAAAAGATGATCCATCTTCATTCGCCTTAAACCCTAGTTTTTCATTGTTCCCTCAATTCATGTTCAATCTTCGAAGATCACAATTCGTTCAGGTAATAATAATAATAATAATAATAATAATAGAACTATTTACACTTTTTAGTCAATTAGCAACTTTTTATTTAAATATCCTTTTTTAATCGTAGGTGTTTAATAATAGTCCTGATGAGACTGCTTATTTTCGCATGATGCTAAACAGAGAGAATATAACAAATGGAGCTGTGATGATTCAACCTTCATTAATATCATATTCATTTAATTCACTTCCTTCACCTGCATTACTTGATGTAGCATCCATTTCAGCTGATAGAATTCTTTTGTTAGATTCCTATTTTAGTGTAGTCATTTTTCATGGAATGACAATCGCCCAATGGAGGAATTTGGGTTACCAAAATCAGCCAGAACACCAGGTATTTTTTATTTTTTAAATATTCTCTAAATAACATAACTTTAAAGATATTAAAGTTGTCCTTGAAGTATTTGAACATGATGTATTTTTTTTTTTTTATAGGCGTTTGCACAGTTGTTGCAAGCTCCGCATGATGATGCGGAGTTGATAATACGTGATCGGTTTCCGGTTCCAAGGTTGGTGGTGTGTGATCAACATGGTTCTCAGGTAATTATTCAAATCTTAAATCTTATTGAAATCAACCGTGTAACTTCCCATACACACGTACCAAGATATTGTCTTCTCAGAGGTTCACCCATCCTAGTACTACTCTCGTTCAAACACGCTTAACTGTAGAGTTCTGATGGGATCTGGGCTTTAGTGCCTCCTCACCGCTTTAAAACACATCTTGACAGAAAAGATATCCACACCCTTATAAGAAATGCTTTTGTTCCCTGTGCAACCGATGTGGGACCGACGGTCCCACATCAACTGACGGGGAAAATACTTTTTTCTTATAATGGTGTCGATATCTCTTCTTCCAAGGCGTGTTTTAAAAGCCGTGGGGGGCACTGGAGCCAAGATCCCATCAGGACTCTACAGTTAAGCGTGCTTGGACGAGAGCAGTACCAGGATGGGTTTCCGAGAGCGGACAGTGTCTTGGTATGTGCGTCTCTCGGATGTTAATTATTATATGGTGGGGCATGCAGGCGCGATTCTTGTTGGCAAAGTTGAATCCTTCGGCAACATACAACAATGAAGGGTCGCCAGGGATGGATGTTATTTTCACGGATGATGTGAACCTTCAAGTGTTCTTTGAGCATCTACAAAGGCTTGCAGTTCAATCTTCTTGAGACCCCACATTAAAAAGAATTTAGCATTTTTATACACTATACAATCATCTTTAATACTCTTCACCCCTCATTCTTTAAAGTGTTATGCCATTTGATATCTTGAAAATGAATAAGGAGAGCATGTGGGGTCAAGTCATGTTTAAGCATAATAGTGTCAGACAAGGGAGATTAGGCAGCAAGTTAGTAGGCATTTTGTGTTTGACGGTTTTGTAAGTTACTTTAGGGATTATGTCTAATTGTGTACCGGATTTGTGAGGTTATATGATTGAGTTTATGGCTATGGAGGTGGAAAAAAAAATATAAGATTTGTTTTTTTGGCTTTGGTTATGTTTTGTGGCTAGTTTTGCATTTGTTTTCTTACAGTAAATGTACACTTGAATCTTTGTTTCATGAACACAGTTTTGGTTTGGAGTTGGATTTTGTTTGCTATGGAATCTTGTTTCTATTCAATTGATTTTGTTATGCAAAAAGATTTGTGATCCTATTAAATGGCTTCTAGCCTAACAACATCAGTGTTATGTTTTTAGGGGTTGAGGTTAAGTTTCATTATCAGATTTTGAGGTTGAGGTTAAGTTTCATATCCAATATATGTGATATTAGAGTAGTTTAGAATTATATTAGATTGTTTTAAGTTAAACTTTTAACGTGTATTCCCTTTAATTTCAACGGACTTTTCAACTATTATTCGTCTTATATAATTAACCAACAAGGTTTCTTATTTAATTTCCAGAACTGTATAATGGTTATTATGTTTTACTTTGATTTTTGAATTTTTTTATTCTTAGTGTTAAAACTTCAAACAGTTGGTTAACTTGATAATCTAAATCTATTCAGCTAGATAAATGCATGCCAAGTTTATTATGTGTAAGATGCTTAGTTCTTTGCATTAATTTTCTTTTCATTCTTCAAAACCTATAAATTGTCATTTCATTTTTTTAAAATTTTTGTAAGTTAAATTAAAATATTATATCTAATAAACTAAACAAATTAATAAAAAAAATATACTGAAACACAAAATTGATGAAAATAGAAATATTTCATTATTTGAAAATAAAATTACATAATAAAATGAAAAACGAAACTAAGAAATAACAAGAGTTAAAATACTACATCACGTCAAATCTTCTTCTAAATCGTCACCCGAATCTCCGATGAACAAATCCGAATATTCATTTGTATATTCGAACAAATCATCGTGTCAATCCTCAACCACGGATGTATGTTAGCAATGCCAATATGTTTGGTCAAATTAACACGAAGGGTGTGATGAGTTTCTGCCAATTCCTTTTAAAGACATAAAATGTTTGTTCTACATCCTTCTTAGTTGCTTCTTGGATTATCTTAAATTTTATTATCTTTTCGTCGTTTGGACATGTGAAGGATTTGACTAAGTACGAACATCTCCTCGTTCTAAATTTAGAACGAACTTTAAAATTATTATTCTTACTAATACACAATTCTTTTTTATATAACTTTCTTGATAAATGTTGTCTTCCGTAATATCAATGTATCTAACAAAGTAGATGATGATGATCAAATTGTGGATGAATGACATTGAAAGAAAAGATAGAAGGTGGCGTGAGATTTAAGATTAAAAATGTTTGTATTTACAGAGTATTGAAAAAAAATTCAAACATTTAACCATTGAAGAGGAGATGAAGATGAGAGAGAGTGTGGGAATGAGGCAACACATTGTGGAAGTCACCACACACCGTGTGTGCGACAATGTGGTGTTCCTCCACCTCACCCTACTGCACTATGCGATAGCAATAAGGGTATACCCTGTAGGGAAATTTAGGGTTTGTGGTGGAGATGTGGATACCAACTTGGATCATGATATTACTTTCCGAACTGATATTTCTACCATATGCATGAGTTACAATAAATTCAGCCTAGGATAATCCAAGTGGGCACTTAAGATTCTAGACACAGAAATCGTAAGCTAATATGCTAGAGGATTCTGTGAAAGTGTGATGAAAAATGAGAGTTTAAGATCGTGTTTCTCTTCTGAAAAGAAGAGTCGTTTATATAATAAACGATATTAGGGTTTTATTAGGGTTGGGCTGTTATGGGTTCCTTTGGAAATAAGTCAGGGTAATCCGGATCTTAATGAAAATTTAGGGTTACCAAAACTAAAGAGTTTCGTTAGTTTTACCATAATCACCCTCAAGAATCGGAATAACCCACTATGTACCGATATGTAAAACTCGGAGAGGTTTTGGAGCGCTGCCCCCGACCCCACCCGCTCACCTAACCCCAACCAGGGGCTCTGCTCCTTGGACCCCGCTAGGGGCGCTGTCCATTTGGAAACCCCGGACCCAGGGGCGCTGCCCCCGGACCCCCGACTAGTCGTCGAACCGATTACTAATTTGATCTTATATATGCGTGCACTCCACACCAACCTGTACACATATTAGAAAACAAATTAAAGAAGCCCCTTAGCTCACATGCTAATTCCAGTTATATAAAATGACATGGTGACACTAAAATCACTAACATACCCTCAAGCCTAAGTTCATCCCTACGGAACCCCACCCAACCCCACATGCAAATCTCTCTCTCTCTCTCATGTTCGAGAATGTGCATGTGACATAAGAGACTAACGTTACTACAAATGTCATATGAACATATAAAGCACACAACAAGAACAAGTAGTTAATGCTAAGATTGGAATGATCCTAAGAAGAATGTGAACTTATAAGAGTCGTAGGAATAAATGCATAAAACGTGAGTATTGCATGCTTGAGGATGGGCCAAATTTACCAAAATTGGACTAGCATACCGCGCATGGGTCCCACTAAGGCAAAACCTAGTGAGTAGTCGCCTTTGGTATTAAAGAAACCTTTTGCAACACTTTTTGACATATGAATTTGCATTCTATCCACAACTATTCTAGAGGCGTTGAATTTCGTAGAACAAGTTTATTGACAGATTGAGAGGCCAATCCATTGCTTAATTAGGTGGAAAACAAATAAATTAAAAAGAAACCTTTTCGTTGCAACCGAGAGAAAGAAAAGGTCGTTTGATGATCTTAGTTCACAAACCCCAACTCGACACATGTTACAATAAGAATGATAAGCTTTTTCATATTAATTTCAATAATCATTTATTAGATAATATACATGTTAATAAATTATAAAATATATCATGGTTTTTAATTTTTGTAATAGAATATAATATTGATATATTTTTATAAATATTTAAAACACCCATAACAATGTATTTTTGTTGTTTTAGATTGTTGATAAACAATGAAATTGATTTTGGTTGATTGTATATGTGGATAAGAAATAAAATATGTTTTTAATGAATTAAAGAGTTGTAATCGGATATAGTCTTATAGTTATTGTTGTGAGGATTATACCATAAAACATATTTTCCAAGTTGTAAATTTAGGTTTTGGTATGTCATTTTCCTTTATTTCATGCAATTTCAATAGATTAAGTTTCTATTTAATTTATGTAATCAAGAGGACACTTATAATAAAGCCGGTGACCAAGAAAAGAGGATGTTCAAAATGGTTGCATGAAGATGGAACAAGGTTTTTAAGGCTCACATATAAAAAGAGTTATTATTGTAATAATAGTAGTTGTTCCCCGTATAAAATTGAATAAATTAACCCTTGCATGGCTTAAGTGGGGTTAATATTAAAACGTGGATTGCTATTGCATCTTTGTGGTTATTTTACTTGCTTTGATTATTAATTGATATTGTAAGTACAACAAAAACATTTTCTGTTCAAAACAACATTTATACAATAAACATACTTTCATATTAACAAAAGGACATTCAAGTGTGTATCATACATACATGCTATAATTACAAGAAAACTATAAAATGGCATAACCAAGAACATCTTATAACAATAAAAGTATATGGAATTTATGTTTAATTAAGTCTCAAAGTTCCATCAAGGCATCAAAGAGCTAAGCTATAGTTTGTCATTAGCACTTGTACATACACATGTTACATAGAAGATTCCATAAGCTATAAAGCAGTAACATGAAGTTCTAATGTATATTCAATACATCACAATATACACCAATTATCAACAATAAAACCATCATGACATATAAATACATTTTTCAATAAACATGCAATGAATTTATCCAAACAAACAATGAGCATATTCAAATATGTCCTCACATATTCCTCAAGTGAATTATCGGGAGGACGATAGGGGCGATTATCTAGGGTCCAATTTTAAAAGGGCTCAAAATTTTTATGGACTTTATTAATGATATGTTAGAAAAGATCGATCTTGAAGATATCATTAATAATTTTTCATCTAAAAAATCTAGAACAATTATTTTTCTTTAAATATATGAATTTTTATAATCAAACATATTATATTTAAGAGCTAGTATAAACAATTTTCTTTTAATTATTGATTTATTATAAAAAGGTTAATGAAATATGTGTATTTTAAGATTCTTTTTTTCTCTTTCATCATGAGCCCAAAATATGTTTGGAACGACCATGATAACATGTTACTCGCCTTGAGTTCTTGAAGAGTTTGCTATTGATTCTTTTCCAATATTTTCTTTGTCCCCTAAACAAAGAAGTATCCATATCAAAACATGGTAAACAAAGAAGTATCCATATCAAAACATGGTACAACAATATAGGGAATCAATTTTCCCATGCCCTTAATCATAATTCGACCCACTCTATTAGACTAGTGAAAACATGATGTAAGAACATCAATTTAATGATAATTGTCATATTTATAGTCAACCTTATATCAATTGGGTTGCCTGACCACCCATTGTGGGACATCACCTTGATAGCTCGAAACCCCCAACTTTTTTATTGTCAAAAGCTTCCCCGATTTGTGAGAATACGGGATAAGAGGCTCACCATAGGCGAAATGCTAGGACATTGAAACACGTTACAAACCCTTCTCATGGCCACTCCTGGCCGAAGCCTATTGGATATATGTTGTGTAATTCATCTAACATCATTAATAAGTGTAATTAGAGGCATAAAATAACTATATTCACCAATTCATCAACACTTTCCATTTAGACATTGTAATTTCAACCAAGACCAATTCTACTATGTGCTTCAACACATATACATTCAAAATGCCATACAAGTCCAACACTTGCTAATAGTATTCCAAATATTAAGTCTAAAAAGTTTGGGTGTTACATTGTGTCAAGGCTAAAGAGAGTAAATGGTAGAAACATGAAGAGGAGAAACTCTACGAGGTTTGTGTTTGGATGTGACTATATCATTAATTTTATGTAAGTTTTAGGTATGGATTGGTTTTGATATATGAAGTTTGTGTTCATAGCATAAAGGATGAAGATGAGAAACTCTAGCGCTTGCGAGTCCTCGTTGGGGGATACGATACTTTAAATGAAGGATTTTATTTTAATATATAAACCATCACACTTTGCAAAAATTTTGACCATCAATAAACAAGTTTTCACTATTTGAACTATGATCCACATGTGTATGAAGATACTCATTTATTTCAGTCCAATGGGGTAATCTCTA